CTTTTTTTTTTTTTTTTTTTAATTTTTGTACCAAAAAGTCATACATTTTATGTTGACATTTCCTTCTTACCTGTGTGCCACAGACCAATAAAGTACTCTGCATTAAAATTTAAATCTTGAGACAGTAGTACAGCATTGAAAAAAATTGTAAAGCAGCTCAGATACATTAACCCAGATTTTACATTTTCATTTCTCAGATTAGAATATAAAAAGCTTGAAAATCAACCTGAAAAAGCTTATTCTTCCTCAAGAAAAAGTATGAACAATCTGAAAATGATCAACTAGTATGAATGAAACATTGTATATGGTGAAGTCACATTTAGTGGTTGCTAAACATACCACTCCCTCCTTGAAATTACTGAACCATCAACATGTGAAACTAAATCATCTTCATTTTCGTCATAATGTTCATCACTGACGAACTTCATTCCCATTTTTAGATCTTCATAATAATCCATTGGTCTTTCAAACCTAGTGAGATTTTCTACATTGTTCCACTGAGTTTTTTCAGGTTCTTCTAAATAGTCTTTACGTATTAGATTGTTCACTGGATTTTTATTTTCTTTTTTCACACTGTCTGGGTAAGAGTCAAGCTCATCTTGTTGAAGAACATCTATTTGTGATTCTTTTTGCATATCTGATGGTGGAATGTAGTTCTTGGCAAAGTAGTCTCCACGAAACGTCCGTCTTCTCCTATAGCAGAATATTCCAGCCAAAACACTTACAAGTACTATGAAGAGAGCCCCACCCACTACACTAGCAATGATCGTGCCAATTGTGTCATCCTTAATGGTTGCCAAAGTTGACAATGGGAAAGGCAATTTTTTAGGTTCTGTTGCTAGATCCTCGATGTCAGCAGTTGAGGGATGCCATTGAATTGTAGGCTGAAGGGTGGTAGTAGTAGGAGGATCTAATGGAAACAGTAAAGATAGACAAGACACAGAAAGGCAAAGAATGTCAATGCAGGCTGATTCAGTAGCAAGTTGAAAAGACAGCACAGTTAATGAATATATATTCACAGTAACAATAGTTTTTCATTCTTAATTTGATTAAGATTAGAATGTAGTATATAAAAAAACAACAAAACTGACACTTAGTCAGTTACCAATGAAGTGAAAGAAATGAAAAATTACTTATGGTGTAAATCCTAAATTATTCTATTCCAAGCTTAAGGCATGATATTTACTCCAGGGAAAAGAATATATATATAAATATATATATATATATATACACACACACACACACACACACACACACACATATACATACACATACATACACATACATATATATATACACACACACATATATACATATATATATATATATATATTAAATGATAAGTACTATTTAAGTGTCTTATATAAAGTTGGCTTAATTATTATATCAAAAAATTGAATTAAATCAAGTAATTTAAAAGTACATTTACTAGCCAGTAGCACAAGGAAAGAAAATGAAAGAATTAAACTAACAAGGTACATTTTCTTAATATCTATCTATTTATCTAATATGGTTTATTTTTTCAAGATCTGAACTTATCTTTAAAAGAATGAAAAACTATAGATTCTTGTTAAGTGGGCACAGTATAAGCTGCTGGTTTAATAATTCTCTCAAAAATATTTTTCTAAAATAAAGAGAACTCTTCTATTTTTAAAAAAAAAACATGTAGTACACATCATTATTTAATAATTAAAAAAAAATAAAGAGTATTATGTTTAAACTGTGTTAGCCAGAAAGGCTATTATCAGATGACACTAATAGATAAAGACAAAATAAAAACACATTATAAAGTATTAGAAAAAATGTCCTCATTACATTTATTACCCCATGGGTAAGATATGTAAACATTTAAGAAATTAAGGAATTTCAAACACATTTTGCAAAATTTAATATTATTGTTTTATGACAGAGTCTCAAAAAGAGTAACTAATATTTTAGAGAGAACATTCTAATATTTAAATATTAGATGCAAATGATCCTGTTTATTGCCATTAGATTACAGAGTAAATAGCCATTAATATTAAAAAGCAACTAAACATAAATAGCAAAAATTGAAGATTGGTTAATTATCAATTAAGTGATATTTCAAAGTTATGTAACACAAAATTATAGAGTTTGAGGAAAGGATGAGTTAAAAAATCGTGAATTTCTTCACAGGTAAAAATAAATGACCCAAATGGTAATCTCCTATAATTACTTTTTAAATGAGTGGTACTAATAGAGCTTTTAAAAAAATGATTGTTAGAAAAATACTAAAACTACATGGGGTAAGTTATTCTAATATTACAAGCTGAAGAAAAATACTTACTTAAACAGGTTTCATCACGGAATGCCATATGTATAGAATGTGGTAAAAATTTAGCAAGTACAGTATAAAATTTAACAAGTACAGCATAACTAATTTCCTATATAAGTTTAAACTGGTATTACAGGTAATCCTATCAAGCATGTTGAAGTGAATATTAATTATGAGAGTATAAGTAAATCAAGGAAATGAGCTTTAATTTGTGAGAGGGCAATCACTAGCTGAATAAATTCAATCTGAAGAAAACCATGGAGTTGTAGGATCATTTCTAGTAGAGAAGTAGTAAAGCTTCGTATACTCTAACTTCACAGAACAAGGGTATTAAGAAATAGATTAAAATTAAATCATCATTAAGATAACAAATGTACTTGGTGAGGAGGAGTAATAGAGAAGTCCAATTTTTAAGTATTAAATCTCATTTTTACAATGATACTAAAAGAAAAAATATTACAATTAACTGGCATCAGCATGGACTAGCCAAATAAAAAAAACACATCACCTAAGGAATTATTTATAATTCACACATTTTTGTGTTTTAAAGACTTCAAAAGAGTTTCTAGTAGGTTTTAGCACAGTGCCTAAGGCACTTGACTGCTAACCAGAAGGCTGGAGGATCAAACCCACCAGCCACTCCTCAGAAGGAAGATGGGGCACTCTACTTCCGTTGTGAAACTGCCTCGGAAACATAAGGAGGGGTCGCTATGAGTCGTGTCCGACTCTACAGCACATAACAACAACAAGTAGGTTTTAACAAAACGCTAATTTTCTAAGACCACCAAATCCACCTGAGCTTTCAATGAGTATAAGCTACAACTACACATTATTACTAAGTATCTTTAAAAATTGAGGTTGTCAAAGAATTCATGTTGCTTGGTTCTACAATTGATGCCAACGGAAGCAGCAGTCAGGGCATTAGACGATGTGTAGCATTGGGAAAGTCAACTGCGAAGGAACTGTTTCAAGTGCTGAGGAGCAAGGTTATCTCATTGAGGACTAAGGTGCGCCTGACACAAGCCATGTTATTTCCAGTCGCCTCGTATGCATGTGAGAGCTGGACAATGAATAAGGAAGACCGAAGAAGAGTTGATGCTTTTGAGTTGTGGTGCTGGCGAAGAATGCTGAAAGTACAATGGACTGCTAAAAGAACTAACAGATCTGTCCTGGAGGAAGTGTAGCCAGAATGCTCCTTGGAAGCAAGAATGGCCAGACTTTGTCTCACCTATTTTGGTCATGTTGTCAGAAGGGACCATTCCCGGGAGAAGGATGTCATGCTTGGTAGGGTGGAGGGTCAACGAAAGAGGGGGAGGCCTTCAATGAGATGGATTGACACGGTGGCTGCGATGACGGGCTCAAGTATAGCAGGGATTGTGGGGCTGGCGCGGGATTGGGCAGTGTTTCATTCTGCTGTGCATGGGGTTGCTATGAGTCAGAAATGACTCGACGGCAGTTAACAACATCTTTAAAAAGGGGTAAGCAGAATCAATGACACTTTTAACATGTTTGCAAAGTCCTTTATATGAACATCAATGGACGCCTACTGTGCCTTTCACTCAAATTTAACAAAATACAGTTTCCAGAAAACCTAATTTAAAATAAAGACTACACCACCAAAAAAAAAAAAAAATTAAAACCTTAATTTTTAAAACCTTAATATTTAATTTTCAGTGGTCCTAACAATTTTTCAACCAATCTCCCATCCTCCTCCTCATAATCTCAATATTAATAAGGTTAATTTCAGAATTATTACTCCATGAAAGGGACTATTACCAATACAGTGAAACCTGTGAGAGCCAGAACTTAACAAGACTGCCTTGTTTTTCTAGGTTTCTCAAGTTTTCCACCTTTGACAGGGTATAGTGTTACCACTATTCTATTACTTTCCAGAAGTGGAAAATATTCTCTAATAGGTTTCCAGCTTACACAGGTTCTAGCTTTTGCAGGTTTTACTGCAAAATACTTTTTTGTATTTTGAGCAATGGACATATGACAATGCACATATGACATTTATTCATGTTTTCTAGTTCTTACACTGCTCTAAGATAATTACAGTGTGACTCATGGTTCATGTAAGGAAGCAAGAGGACTACTGTATAATAAACAATAGTTAGCTATTTAGGCAATTATCATGATTTAAAATACTTCCTAATAGCATTCATTTTTCAGTCAGACATTATTTTTTATATTCTTTGCTGCATGTGTGATAAAGGAGTGTATAACGGGTGTAATCAACTAGCAAACTCTGAGTTCTCCTCACCTAAATGAAGAACCATATAATTTTTTTTTTTATAGTTAATAATTTCTGCCAAACAGGGAAACAAAAAACCCAGTAAGACCCTTACAGCTATAAGGTCTATTTTAGTCTAACAATTACTGTGTTAACAAAATTAAACAGATTTATGCACTTCTTTTTCTTTTAGAATTTATATGGGATTTTTAAACATGTAAGATCTGTGAATTTAAAAAATTTAAAGAATGCTAAGTAAGTGAGGATTCTTAAGTTTCTATTACGTCTGGATCCTAAATTCTGCATTATTTGAAACTGAAGTTTTCCACAGAAACATATTTTATTTATGAGATCGAGGCATGAAGGAACTTATTTGATATATACAAATACACTCTTCTATTGTCAAAGAGAAGTGACAGATACCAGCTATAGAAAAGACACACCAATTGCAAACTAGAAAAACAAAATTTCCAGCAGTCAGTTAATACTGGGAAAAAGAGCCACTATACCTTCTAAGAGTGATAAAATACAACAGTACAATTTAATAACTGAAGTTGAATATTGCAATCTTAAATCAACAACCTATTGTCCAAAATCGTATGTTTACTAAAGTTGGAAATGTGTAATAAAATTAAGAACAATACATTAAACAGAGTTGCTAATTCTACTCTGTTCTGAGAACTTTTAATATCCGGTCATAACACACATCTCTCTTACAAATATTTTTTAAATCTTCCTTGAAATTTTTAAATACCAAATTTAATACTGAGGTAAAAAACTTCGTATGTACCCTTTTCATATGTTACAATGAAAAAAGACCATTTATATTTTGTGAATTATTGCCTGTCTTATGAGACTTACGTTAGACATAAAGAAATTGTGTAAAGTCTGTCACTAGTGTTATATTAGTTCTCTCGTCAAAAAAAAGCACTACATAAAAGCAGATTCTGGATTTTTAATTCTTTCCTGATTGTTTTCTTCTCTTAAGCAAATTCCTTAATTCAGACAATAAAAATTAATTGAGCTCTATCATGTGCTAACCATTACTGCAGATGGTAGAAACAGCAATGATCAAAGCAGACCAAAACCCTACTTTGTTGTAGTGAGGGTAAACAGAAAAGCATATAAATAAAATATGTAGTATGTCACATGGCAGTAAGTTCTGTAGAGAAAAATAATGCATAGGAGGACAAAAAGTAGTAAACAGGTGAACTGAGCAGATTGAGTTTTCCATTTTATATACCATAAGAAAAAAGGAAGACCTCTCTGAATAGCTGGTATTTGACCAAAGACCTAAAAGAAGTGAGAGAAAGAACTACGAGGATATCTGGTGGAAAAACATTCCAGAAAATGCAAAGACCCTAAGGTAGGAATGTGACTGTTCCAAAGAATAGCAAGGAGGACAGTGTGGGTCAAGAAGAATGAGCAAGGGCTATAAAGAAAAAATGAAATCAGAAAAGTTCTGGAATCAAGTCATGTATAAAGCCTTGTAAGTCACTATGAAGACTTGGTTTCCAATGTGTGTAAGATTTAAAGAGCCCAAGGAAGGTGTTGGGGAGAAGAGTGACATGATCTGATATGGATCTGCCAGGATCACACCAAGTGCTCATTTGATAACAGATCAAAAGGAGACAGACTGAAAGTAGAGAGATTAATAAAATGGCTGCTATAAGAGCATGGAGAAAGAGTTGCTAATGCGTTAGACCAGAGTAGCAGCAGTGGAAGAGATGTAGAACTGGTTAAGATTCCATATATAACATAATGGCAGAGCTGACATGGTTTGTTGGTTTGGATGGACTATGAAAGAAAAAGTAAAATCAAAGATAACCTTCAAGGGTTGTAACCCATAGTAAATGTAAGGATGGAACTACCATAATAGAAAAGATGAAGACTGCTAGAGGAGCAGGTTTGGTAACAAGAGCAGGACATGATCAGGAACTTGGTTTTGGATATGTTAAACTATAAACACTTATTATTGTTACAAATAGAGTTAATGATCATTAGTAGACAACTGGACACACAAGTCAGGAGTACTGAGAAGTTCCAAAAAAATATAAAGTTAGAGTATCATTAGAGGAATAAATATGAATCCCCAAACTGAGCCATAATATTTACATGATTACTTATATTTTAACCTAAAATTTACAAGGAATACCCCACACCAAATTGTGTAACACAAAAAATAAGAAGTCCTAAGTAATTACACTGTAAATATGCATTGCCTGTGGTTTATCTATTCTTCTTTTTTAATAAAAATCCTTTAAGAAAGAGAGGCTAATTTTACTAATATTTATAATTTTGTTCCTATTTCTACCACTGCTACTGGTACAAAGAGTTGAGGATGCATATAATTCTAAGTTTCTTGTAAGATTTGTAAACAATAATATTTAAGCCCCTACGTGTACCAGGCATGACACTAACTGCTAGATATACTGTGGTGAATAAAGCAAGTATGAATGGCTCTGGTGGCACAGTGCCTAAGGCACTGGACTGCTAATCAGAAGGCTGATGTTTCAAACCCACCAGCCACTCCTCAGAAGGAAGACTGGGCAATCTATTTCTGTTGAGATACTGCCTTAGAAATCCAAGGAGGGGCCGCTATGACTCAAATCAACTCAACGGTAGTGAGTTTGGTTAGTTTTTGGTTTAAGTGTGAGGGTAGGTAATAAGTAAATATACGAGCATACATATGGTAAGTAAGCATAACTGTGGTTAAGCATTAAGAAAAATACTATCGGGCACTTAGTTTGAGTGACCAAGTAAGGACTGAGAGTATAATATTTAAGCAAGCACAAATTTCCCTGAAGTCTAATTTATTTAGTTTCAGATCTCAATTATCAATTAGATAATTACTATACAAACCTGAATTCCTCAAAGTTCTCTTCCTTTTTCCCCTGAGTTAGACATGAGACTGCTAGTAGTCAATAAGGAAGTGCTTAAAATAGTTTATAATCTTTATAAATAAGCACTGTAATTATAAATTAGTTTTAGTTTACATCGACCTCCAGGAAAATATATTATTACTTGAAATATACTCATATTTTGTGTATGTCCTAATTAATACTTGGTAAAATTACAAAAACATTCACAGTGAAACAACTGGAATGTGAAAAGTCTAAGTTCTTTGTGGCTTAAGGACTGACAACAAGAAATATCTTAAATTGTATTTCATTAAAACATTTTCACTAGGATTCGAACATGGTACAGTTTCATACTAAATGACAAACAATGTTATTTAATAAGCAAGACATCACAGTTGATACCTCATGTTATTTATAAGATACTCACTCAGGTACAGAGTAGACCACCAAAGCAAATGCTTGCTATCGTTGTAAAGACAACAATAGAACAAAAAAGAACTCAGAAAGGCATATTATCTAGGGAGGAATATTCAATACAGTTTAATAGAAAAATTATATGTATAGGTATTAAAATGTGTCTAAACTTGTATAGGTATTTTGACATCTCCTTAAGACTCACCACTTTACTTACATATTTCAGATAGGATTAGTTGATCATATCCCTTTTAGATTACTTGGAAAATCTTACATTAAGGAACCTTTTCTTTACAAATATAAATTAGAGCTTAGACCACAGTGTTATTGATGTAATTATTTTTACAGGAACAATTCAAGCTCCTTATTTTGCAAAGTGGTAATAACTTACCCGAAATGTAGATGACCTTTTGATCACTTCTTTGACCAAGGGAATTGGTCACTTTACAGACATAAACACCAGAATGATTGAAAGTCAATGGATGGACAAAATGAAGAGTATTATCTGAAGCCAATAAACCATCAGGCCACTGTCCATCCAACCTAGATTTTTAAAAATATGAAATTATTTTAAATATCTTCAAAACATACTCATCAATAGCTATTTAAATTAAGATATAATACTTCTGAGACATTAGGAAAAGAATTAGTATCCTTTAGGTGTAATGCATTACAAAATGAAAGCATATAATAAGAAATTATAATTCTTTCATTTTTATAAAGATGACTTAATAAAACTTAAGATATTCATATTTTCAAAATATCAATCCACATAAGTATAGCTAGACCAACAGTTAGAAGGGAAGAGGAGAAAAGAATGTGTGATTTTAAAGAATTATATTCAGAAATCTGGAAAATCTGAACAATTTATTATATGAACATATATTCACAATATCAAATATAATTGTCAGTGGATTGTGGATCTACTCATGATATAGACACATTTTTCTTAATGAAGTCATCTCCTTTAAGTACATGACAATGTTTTAGTACCTTCTGTAAAATATTCATTGAGCATCATTTAATACTAAGCAAAAACTAACCAAAGATGGTTAGTTTATAAAGCACTGAGAAAAGTCATCTTATAAAATAATCTTGTTTATAAGGTGGGCATCTGTTATAATTACAAAATAAGCCACAATTTGATATCAAAATAACTCTTTTTAAAAGGTGCCTGAGGAGGTGCAGGACCAGGCAAGGTTTCATTCCGTTTTACATAGGATTGCTTATGAGTTGGAACCGACTTGGTGACACCTAAAAACAACATTAATCTGACCAAAAGGTCCTACCTAGTGTACTCATCACTATAAACTATACTAGGAATAAATTCCCACTATAAGACACTGGGGAACTCTGGTGGCAAAGAGCCTAGGGCACATGACTCCTAATGAGAAGGCTGGCGGTTCAAAACCCACCAGGCACTCCATGGAAGGAATGTTGGACAATCTACTTCTGTGGCGATACTGCCTCAGAAACCCAAGGAGGGGTCACTGTAAGTCGGATCCGACTAAATGGCAGTGAGTTTATAAGACACTAAAGGAGGTCTGGTGGCATAGTGTGAATAAGGCACTTAGCAGCTAACCAGGTCACCAGTTCAAATCCACCAGCTGCTCCACAGGAGGAAGATGACGCAATCTACTTCGATAAAGATTTACAGCCTTGGGTTTTGGTAAGATGGTGGAATAGGCAGACAAACTACATAGACCCTCTCCAACAAAGAAAAGGGGAACCAATTAATACAGATACAGGAAATAATCCTGGAGACCTGAGCTTTGAAATGAAGGCTAAAGAAGTGGACTATACTCCAACTACTAGAAGAACCTGATGAAAATACCAAAAAAGGAGATATATAGAGTTGCAGTCTGTCAGAGATGGTAATGGCATGAAAAGCTTAGATATTGCCAAGTGGTATAAGGACTTAAAAATTAACCTATAAATG